GCCGACCTGTATTTAGTAGCTGCCAGTCAGATTGCGTCAAACTTGAGATACACTCTCCGAGTACCTTTGCCAATCGAGGAGGCACGCCTCGTTTCAATCTCACATACCCAGGCACGCGTTCAAAATACTACGGAGGTAAACTGGAAACCTGCAAAATCATTGGTGACGCGCACCGGGCGGGCCCGTGCGATCATGCATTTTTGCAGTATTTCGTGCTGTAATGTGATCGCTCGAAAACCCGGTAGCTAGGATTTGCGACATACTGGTCCTCGAAGTTCGGGAAGCTACTTGGAAAGGGAACAATTCGCTAAAATTTCAGTTTTCCAACTTTTCCCGTTCTAGAGTTAGCAACTTTTCTGCCAAAAAATTTCGTAGGTTCGTACACGAGAACCACACGTATCTGACAGCTGAATTTGATATCTTTAACTTTTACGGGACCTGGGAACGCACCCTTAAAATTTCAGCTCTCAGCTTTCCTATTTCCCGAGTTAGCCATTTTTCCGTCAAAAAATTTTACGGGGCCGTACGAGAGAACCACGAATACCTGAAGACTGAATCTGATAAATTTTTGTTGTACACGAGCTAAGAGCATCCCCTCAAAATTTCAGTCTCCTAGCTTTCCTGGCTCCCGAGTTAGCCACTTTCCCGCCGAAAATTTCACGGGGTTTTACGCGAAAACTACGCAAGCCTGGAGGCTGAATTCGACGATATCAAGTTGTACAAGTGCTGGGAACATTCCCTGAAAATTTCAGCCTCCCAACTTTCCTGGTCCCCAAGCTAGTGATTTTCGCGCCAGGTACCCTCACGGGGCCATACGCGAGTGCCACGCACACCTGGGGGCTGGATTTGAAATCTTTGAGTCCCATATGCTTGTCTGGGGAACCCACCGTGAAATTTTGGCGCCAGAGCTTGCTTGGACGCCGAATTGAAATAAACGGACACACACACACACACACACCGGGGTCGTCGCAATATGCGTTTTCGCATTTGCATATGTGCAAAAACACATAAAAACAGTTGCAGCTGGACAAAACTTCCGGCCTCGTACATAGACTCGGAACGAACTCCTAGGGCGGGGAAAGGTTAGAGGGCGGCGGGTGGGG